TACATTATTTCTTATGGGGAAAATGGTTTAAGTTTTAGTCTATTTCACATTTCGTTGGACTCTCTGGAACAAATTAAAGACGAAAAGAGAGGGCCCACTGTAGTTAGATTTACATTATTTCTTATGGGAAATATTACTTCGGTGTTCTTCCATTTCTGATTTCGACTGATTTTCTGGAACAGATTAACCCATAAACGGTCCAAGCAGATCTACGTTCACATGTGTAGTGCTACAAAAGTAGATCTAAGTTTTTTTTACATATTTTCAAATATAACAAAAAAAAAAGTAGATCAAAGTTTTTTTGCGTTTTCAAATGTAGAAAAACAAAAAGAAGATCTACTTTTTTACATACTTTCAAATGTTGAAAACATGTATATATACGTTTGGACCGTTTATGGGTTAAGGACGAACAGTGGGATTCCACTGTACTGTACATTCATTAATTACCTTAAAATATATCTAGTCTTAATGTAGGGTGAAACGTGAGTTGTATTTGTAGGAAGTCAGGTTTGGGAAGTATGGTAGCCAGCCAGGGCAGCCCACCCTACCCCATACACACGTAATGTAAACAAACCAGGCGAACGCATCTGGTTTTCATTCGTTTTGCATTATACCACAATACAAACACTTTACATTGTGTAGTAGTTGTCTCCACTTTGATACAGTAGAATAAATAAAGAGAAACACTCCCATTCTCGTGTAACACCATTTTTAGAAGAAATGACGCTCTGAGTGAAGGCATACGAAAGGAATAATTTTCTAGTTACCCCCAGTAATATTATAGTGTACACATTTTCTCTGATGTTTGCCTGACTACCACATCTGATATTTATGTTAATTTTTTCTACTGTGGGGTGTATTAATCATGCTTATATGTTATGTAGCATGTTTATTATATAATTTTGAAAATATTAGAGATGGATTAATGGAAATGACTATACAGTGGACCCCCAATTAACGATCTTTTTTCATTCCAAAAGTATGTTCAGGTACCAGTACTGACTGAATTTGTTCCCATAAGGAATATTGTGAAGTAGATTAGTCCATTTCAGACCCCCAAACATACACGTACAAACGCACTTACATAAATACACTTACATAATTGGTCGCATTTGGAGGTGATCGTTAAGCGGGGGTCCACTGTATTAACATAATATATGACATTTAATGCACCCAAGAGATTACTTATTATTATTAACCCTTAAACTGTCCAAACGTAGATTTACGTTCACCTGCGCAGTGCTCCAAATATTTTTAAAAAATAATTTTTTTTTTTAAATTGAAGAGCGCATTTTTATAAATGTTATAGGAAAAAAAATTTAGGGTCAGTACTTACCGAGACATAAGTCTGTGAAGTTGGTGCTAAATGATGAGGTGTCGGCAACATGGAGCACTGCCACTTGCAGAAATAATAAACATTTATCGTTTTTTTTTCCAATTCTTTTCTATTTTTTTGTTATTTTCATGTTATGATAATAATGTTTGATGCAGATCTTTTGATTTCATAGCCAATTTTTGTTGAGACACAAATGTTTGGTACTGAATTAGTAATCATACTGTCACAAACACACATGTTCACACTGATAAATGAATTTGTACACCTGGTTCAATCACATACTATTGTTTACATAAATATGTACAACATATTTACAGGTCCCATTTATGTTTCTAGAAGTCCACCACTGTATGGTACTCCAAGAAGCATGGATTCATGTAGAGTGCCACCCCACATTGCTGACACATGTATCATGTGTCTTTTTGCACTTGAGGTCAATGTGTAGTGTAAGCACACACAACACACTTTTTCTGAGAATACGTCTTCTTTGGAGTAGATGGTAGTGGTATTAGGCAGTGACAGTTAGGGATTATACAGTTGGGCACTTCCCCCTCTGGTTGTAGGGTGACAGGTTGCTGTTATGGGGTGACAAGTTGCTGTGGAATGACAGATATAGGTGTGGTACCATACTATTTCGCTATCTGCTTCATGACATTGAGGGTGAATTCTGCATATCACTCTCGCTTCCCAGTCTTTATTTCATACATGTTGAAGGCAATGAGCATTGCAATGTCTACAAGGTGAAAAAACACTTTTATATACCACTTGTGACTCCTACGCACACAGTCAACAAACCCTATCATCAAGTCACACTCATCAACTAGTCGCATATTGTTCATATAGTCGATGACAGGAGCTGGCTTTACAATAGGTTCATTGCTGAACCTGCTCAGTCTGTCTATACTGTCTCATTTGTCTGGATGGTTGACAGCAATGTCATGTCCCATTTGTCATGCAATGTCAGTGCCATGAAGTCATTGGCATGAAATGCTTCCACTAGACTTCCTCCAGTGAACCTTGGCATGTGCTTTCTATTTCTTCTCACTGTTCCACATATATCAATGTTGTTCACATGCAGGAAATCAGAGAGTATAGGGTTTGTGTAGCAGTTGTCTGTGTACAATGTATGACCCTTGCCAAGGTATGGCTCCATCATCTTGCGAACAACATTACCAGAAATGCCCAACATGCGCCTAGTAGCATCGAGTGTATTTTTCCCTGTGTAGATAATGACATCCAACACATGACCAGTCTCACAGTCACACATAACAAAGAGTTTTATACCAAAGCGATTATGTTTGCTTGGTATATATTATTTGAATGACAGTCATCCCTTGAAAAGAACCAAAGACTCATCGACAACAATGTTCTTGAATGGATAAAAGTAGGCACTGAATTTTTGCTTCAGATACATAAACAATTCCCGGACTTTGTATAGGAGGTCATTTTGGTTTGGCGTATTCCTGTCTGAGAAGTGCAACATTTGTAGCAACAGAGTGAATCTGTTGCAGGGAAGGAGGCCACAGAAGACTGGAGTACTGATGAAGTGGTCTGTGGATCAGTAGTGTGCTATATTGTTCTTATATGTGTGTGGCATAAGCATGACAGTACCAAGGAATAAATACATTTCAGCCACAGTTGTATCTTTCCGCCTGCGCAGCCGTGAAGACTCTGAAACATCTGTGTGGTCCATTGTATACTGGTAGTACATGTTGGTCTGGGTAGCAATTAGGTTCATTATCAGCACATCAAAGTATAATTGAAAATAGTCCATCTCTGTAGACTCATTTGTGATGGGACAGTGTGGTATTATGCCACTTCCACTGGCATCAAAACTGAAAGGATGTAGCACAAATGGTGTACTTTCTGTCCAGCTCCATTCGTGGTCAGATGGTGCAGGGTGGACCTGTGGCATGGGGCATGGGAGAGCATGAGAGGGGACAGGAGTGGAGACAGCACATAGCTGAGAGGGTGCGGGGCAGTCCTTTGTCTGCCCACCCACCACGCCACAAGGTCCAGGCACCATGCCACCCCCCTCTTCCTCCATCCCAGCATATTCACCTCCATGATCACTATCACTACCAGTGACTGGGGTTTCGGATCGTGACCTCATACAACCCTTGCTGCTGACTGCATATGACACACTGCCTGAACGCAGGTTACGACGCCTAAAAGTGTGTTCCACTGGGGAATAATGATAATCACTTTCACTCGACGAATCGTCTATCGGCATAAAATCGATTTCATCATTGTCGCTTATATCACTTTCACTATCGTCATCACCAAAACGCGTGGAAAATTATTATTTCCTCTTGCGGAGTTGCCTTTGGGAAGTAACACTAGCAACCCCAGAGGTGCTGGGCTGAGTCTGCTGTGACCACACTGGCCACATTAGCCACAGTGGCCACAGTGGCCACTTCAGAAGTGCTGGGCTGAGGGTCTGGTTTGGCCACACTGTCCACCCCAGAGGTCATGGGCTGAGAGTTTGTGGCCACACTGGCCACCTCAGAAGTGCTGGGCTGAGGGTCTGGTATGGCCACACTGTCCACACTATCCACACTGGCCACCCCAGATGTAATGGCCTGAAGGTCATTTGGGTTATCATCCAAAGTTTCACTAATTCCTTGATTTTAAGTGGCTATATCAGAGTCAAAACCACTAAACTCACATTCTGTATCACCTTCCGAGAATAGTAGAGTGTTAATACAAAGAGGCCTCGGTGAATCACGGGGGTTTTGCCATGATGTTGACCCAAGATGGTGCTGAAATTAATTGGTGTTACCACGCAATAACCCAGCATCCCCGATATTTTTCATACTGCACACACTGAGTGCACAGACTCATTCTCTCATGTCTAGGTGACTCAGGCCAATCATGCCAATTTTGAAGAAATGAAAAATAAAACGTTGATCTATGTTCGGAGCTTCCCTGCACGTGAATGTATATCTACGTGTGGACAGTTTAACCCTTAAACTGTCCAAACAAATTTACGTTCACATGCGTAGTGCTCCAAAAGTAGATCTATGTTTTTTTACATATATTTTAAATACAACAACAAAAAAAGGAGATCAAAGTTTTTTTACACATTTTCAAATGTAAAAAAAAGAAAAGAAGATCTACTTTTTTTACATACTTTCAAATGTTGAAAAAACATAGATCTACGTTTGGACAGTTTAAGGGTTAAGGGTTAATATGGCATCAAAAGTAGAGACTCTTAGTGATTTTAATGTGTACCTTCATGCCAGCACAGTGTGTGAGTATATTTAGGTACAAGTACATACGTATAATTATCAGAGTACATATAAAATATATAACTTAAAAACACTTGAAATTTTGAAAAGTTTCCAGACATAATAGAGATGTGCTTACGGAGAATGTAAACAAACCGGGTGGGGCGCGCCATATTAGAAAGACTGGGAGCCATATAGCAAGTTTTGGTCATAATTTGAAATTGCCATATTAGCGGAACACTGTAAGGCGAAATGCCATAAAGTGGGGCCCTACTGCATTTACTGATATAAAAAATATTAAGATTTAATTTATGAATATCAATTATAATCTTATCACATAATAACATTGCATTCTAAAAATGTGGCCAAACATTTAGATGTCATTGTATTTTTTTGGTGACATAATGTAAGAACAAGGTACATATAAAGCTCACCTCCTGCAAGACAGATTTTACTGAGCTGCTGAAGTTGAATTAACTGCTCTTCTGCCTTCCTCTTGCCTGCTGCCAGCTGAGGACATGAAGAATCAACAGTGTCCTCCAACACAGGAAATGGTTTCACCAGTGTTGACAATCTTCTGAACACCGTGGATTGGTTTCGCCTTAGAAGTTCTTTGATAAACATTGTTGCTCTTAAGAATTACTGAAAAAAAAATAAAGTGTTTATCTTTATCCACAACATTAATCATATACAGGAGGGCCCTGCTTCACAGTGCTTCAATTATATTCAATTATATTCATTCTTCATTTATTCAGACTTCCTAAAATAAAAATATTCATCACTCACTAAGATAAGGATGAAAATATTTTATGGTAAGTAATGTGTGTACTGTACTTGCATTTTTTAGGTCTACCTCTATTGCTCATCTAATGTATGATAGTGTAAACACATTAACAGACTTTTATGTGCATTTGAAAATGAAAAAAGGCTGTTTCACTTTACAGTAATATTCATTTTACAGAGGTAGCCCGGAACCTAACCTGCTGCATAAGCGAGGCCCCTCCTGTACTTATAAACCACAAACCTTCAGTATTTAGAATGTCAACATTTGCCAAATATAAAGGATTCTCTCACATTACAAAAATATGCTTAAAGCAAATTCACTCTTATGCAAATCATATTGCATAAGAGAGAATTGTGCACCAGAGATTCTGCATGGTGGCACATGGAGACAATATCAAAGGTTCTCCAATTGTATATCAAAAGTTCTGCATGGTTGTAGGTGAGCATCTAAAGTTCTGCATGGTTGTAGGTGTATATCTAACTCTAAATGGTTGTAGGTGTGCATCAAAGGTTCTGCATGGTTGTAGGTGTATATCTAAGACTCTAAATGGTTGTAGGAGTGCATCAAAGGTTCTCCAGTTGTGTGTGATGAATGATTTAGAAAACCGACAAGTTGAAGAATTGAGACACTTATGCAACACATGGGAATCTTGATTGAAGAAATGTTTTGCCACACAGTGGCTTCATCAGTCCAATACAAAGCAGAAATGGGTAAGGAGAGGAGAAGTTTGAGGTAATCAGTCCCTCAACCTGGAATCGATGTGCTCAGTCCATCACTCTTGTAGGAAATGCAGCATAGGGCCAGAGAGGTGGCTTATATACTGTACTGCAGTAAGGTGAGGTGAAGCAGGAGGCGGGATCACAGTGGGCGGGATCTGGCCCTATGCTGCATTTCCTACAAGAGTGATGGACTGAACACATCGAGTCCAGGTTGAGGGATTGATTACCTCAAACTTCTCCTCTCCTTACCCATTTCTGCTTTGTATTGGACTGATGAAGCCACTGTGTGGCAAAACGGTTCTCCAGTTGTATATCAAAGGTCCTTCACGGTTGTAGGTGTGCACCAAAGGTCCTGAATGGTTGTAAGTGTGCATCAAAGGTTCTACATTGTTGTAGGTGTGCAAAGGATCTGAATGGTTGTAGGAATGCATCAAAAGTTCTGAATGGTAAGTGCGTGCACATCAAAGGTTCTGAATAGTTGTAAGTGTGCATCAAAGGTTCCACATAGTTGCAGGTGTATATCAAAGGTTCTGAAAGGTTGTAGGTGTGCATCAAAGGTTCTGAGAGGTTTTAAGCGTGCATCAAAGGTTCTGAATAGTTGTATGCGTGTATCAAAGGTTCTACATATATGGTTGTAGGTTTATATCAAAGGTTGTGTATGGTGGTAGGTGTATATCAAAGGTTCTATATGGTTATGCATAAAAGGTTCTGAATGGTTGTAAGTGTATATCAAAGGTTCTTTATGGTTGTAGGTGTATATCAAAGGTTGTACATGGTTGTAGGTGCATGTCAAAGGGTCTACATGGTTGTAGGTGTACATCAAAGGTTCTGTATGGTTGTACCTGGAGTTTACCTGGAGAGAGTTCCGGAGGTCAATGCCCCCGCGGCCCGGTCTGTGACCAGGCCTCCTGGTGGATCAGAGCCTGATCAACCAGGCTGTTGCTGCTGGCTGCACGAAAACCAACGTACGAGCCACAGCCCAGCTGGTCAGGTACCGACTTTAGGTGCTTGTCCAGTGCCAGCTTGAAGACTGCCAGGGGTCTATTGGTAATCCCCCTTATGTATGCTGGGAGGCAGTTGAACAGTCTCAGGCCCCTGACACTTATTGTATGGTCTCTTAACGTGCTAGTGACACCCCTGTTTTCATTAGGGGGATGTTGCATCGTCTGCCAAGTCTTTTGCTTTCGTAGTGAGTGATTTTCGTGTGCAAGTTCGGTACTAGTCCCTCTAGGATTTTCCAGGTGTATATAATCATGTATCTCTCCTGCCTGCGTTCCAGGGAGTACAGGTTCAGGAACCTCAAGCGCTCCCAGTAATTGAGGTGTTTTATCTCCGTTATGCGTGCCGTGAAGGTTCTCTGTACATTTTCTAGGTCAGCAATTTCACCTGCCTTGAAAGGTGCTGTTAGTGTGAAGCAATATTCCAGCCTAGATAGAACAAGTGACCTGAAGAGTGTCATCATGGGCTTGGCATCCCTAGTTTTGAAGGTTCTCATTATCCATCCTGTCATTTTTCTAGCAGATGCGATTGATACAATGTTATGGTCCTTGAAGGTGAGACCTCCGACATGATCACTCCCAGGTCTTTGACGTTGGTGTTTCGCTCTATTTTGTGGTCAGAATTTGTTTCGTACTCTGATGAAGATTTAATTTCCTGATGTTTACCATTCTAGGTAGTAGGTTGGTAGACAGCAACCACCCAGGGAAGTACTACCATCCTGCCAGATGACTGTGAAACAAAAACCTGTAACTGTTTTGCATGATGGTAGGATTGCTGGTTTCTTTTTCTGTCTCATAAACACGCTAGATAACAGGGATATCTTGCTACTCCTACTTACACTTTGGTCACACTTCACAGACACGCACATGCATATATATATACATACATCTAGGTTTTTCTCCTTTTTCTAAATAGCTCTTGTTCTTCTTTATTTCTTCTATTGTCCATGGGGAAGTGGAAAAGAATCTTTCCTCCGTAAGCCATGCGTGTCGTATGAGGCGACTAAAATGCCGGGAGCAATGGGCTAGTAACCCCTTCTCCTGTAGATGTTTACTAAAAAAGAGAAGAAGAAAAACTTTATAAAACTGGGATGCTTAAATGTGCGTGGATGTAGTGCGGATGACAAGAAACAGATGATTGCTGATGTTATGAATGAAAAGAAGTTGGATGTCCTGGCCGTAAGCAAAACAAAGCTGAAGGGGGTAGGAGAGTTTCAGTGGGGGGAAATAAATGGGATTAAATCTGGAGTATCTGAGAGAGTAGAGCAAAGGAAGGGTAGCAGTAATGTTAAATGATCAGTTATGGAAGGAGAAAAGAGAATATGAATGTGTAAATTCAAGAATTATGTGGATTAAAGTAAAGGTTGGATGCGAGAAGTGGGTCATAATAAGCGTGTATGCACCTGGAGAAGAGAGGAATGCAGAGGAGAGAGAGAGATTTTGGGAGATGTTAAGTGAATGTATAGGAGCCTTTGAACCAAGTGAGAGAGTAATTGTGGTAGGGGACCTGAATGCTAAAGTAGGAGAAACTTTAGAGAGGGTGTGGTAGGTAAGTTTGGGGTGCCAGGTGTAAATGATAATGGGAGCCCTTTGATTGAACTTTGTATAGAAAGGGGTTTAGTTATAGGTAATACATATTTTAAGAAAAAGAGGATAAATAAGTATACAAGATATGATGTAGGGCGAAATGACAGTAGTTTGTTGGATTATGTATTGGTAGATAAAAGACTGTTGAGTAGACTTCAGGATGTACATGTTTATAGAGGGGCCACAGATATATCAGATCACTTTCTAGTTGTAGCTACACTGAGAGTAAAAGGTAGATGGGATACAAGGAGATGGGATACAAGCATCAGGGAAGAGAGAGATGAAGGTTTATAAACTAAAAGAGGAGGCAGTTAGGGTAGATATAAAAGTATTGGAGGATGATGGG